TTTGCATTTTAGCAATAGTAAGAGGGTTTGTCTTTACTCACATTTTGTCTTGCTTGGTCAGTGTTATTCTGCCCTACACCCCAGATACTGAACATTATATAGAAATTAGGCAATATTGTTATCTAATGACTTCTAGTTCCTTTCAAGAAAGCTGATAGCTACTTTATTTAATGAGGAGTTTGCAACATGAGCTTACGATGGATTGCAGACACAGAGTGAGATGATCAAAAACAGAGAAACATGGTAAAGGTAGAGAGCAAAGCAGATTCAAAGACTGAGTTTTTAAGGTGGAGGTATTGACACTATTTCAGATAAAGCCAAAGGCAAAAAATCTACACAGGACTTGCACATTATTCTCAGCAACGACTTTGTCTATGTGGTTTACAAGCAGCTCTTATCTAATAAGGCACTTTTCTATCGTTTCACTCTTACACAACACTTGTGGCGAGTACTTTCAGCGATATGTAGGGCCCCTAACTCAAAGAGCTCTAGACTGCAGGTTGTCAATCACTTGTTCCTCTGCACACACCAAAATGAGGTAGATATGATCAAATGAGTTGATAAAAATATATGCACAATGTTTTAAGATACTTAGCCAGTTTAATAGATTATTCATATTTAATAGATGAATTCACAATCAAATTTTAAGTGCCAATAACAGGAAAGTCATCCAAATGTATTAACATTTTAGATCATATTAACTAAAGCTAATATGTTAATAAAAAAATCAATCAATAAATAAATAACTTAGGTAATTTTTGGGAGAAGTAACTTGTAATAATTATTTTTTTAAATGATATGCCAAACACTGATAAATATTATGCAACTAAAACGCCCGTGAGTTAATCTACTCAGCATAGTAAATTATCTTTATCAGAGATAAGGACACAAAACTAAATATCTAAGATCACCCAAGACATACTGGAATCACAATAAACATTTATTTATGATCAAACTATTTAATATTTTCATATACTTTCAAACAAGTCAGATTAATAGAATCAAATGAACCAGCACATAAGTCTTTAGCTGGAAGATTTTAAACTACCCGTTAGCTGCTTAATATTCTTCCAATTTAAACCTGTAGAGCTGTAAAACGTTTTAATATCTTCTCAGCTCTTTATGGATATTTTTTCTTATCTTTCAATGTTATCTGTCTCGTGTTCAAAGATTTTATGAGAAAGGAAAAAAAAATGAGGGTCCAGTGGCTCCAATAACATCTGATCTTTAATCTGCGTGACAGAAGGATCAAAACTGTAATGTGCGCCATAATAATAGGGAGTTAAAAAATTATAAATGATGTAAAGCATTGTTGTTCTTGACTGGAAGTTTTAGTCGATGTGATTCTTTTAAGGTTTGGATTTTCCATGATTGAACTCCTTGACCAAATGAATGAATCATTACAAGATTGTGAACTTTTTTACAAGGCTGAGAAGGTTATTATCTATTTTATTTAGGTTTGATTCAGCAGAAATACATGCAGAACTCATGGCTTGGAGGGCTCAACTTGCCCACTTCAGTAAAATGATAAATAAAATATGTAAATTAAATCATAGGGTTAATGACTCCTTGTTTCTCCTTGTCATTCATTCTTTTTTTTTTTTTTTCAAATTAAATAAAAAAATGAATAAACTACAAATCTTTTTTTTATCAACTTTGTTTCAAAACAATTGGACCAATTTTTTTTTTATTTCCCATTGCAAAACTAAATTAAATATATATAAAAAAAGATGAATAAGATATACAAGGATTTTTTATATGTAGCAGTTGAAATACAGCAGCTGAAGACATGCAAGTTGACTTTATTTATTTAATTATCAAACAAAATCAGCTGTTCTGCCAGGTGATCTACAGTACTCTTCAGTCCCATATCCTCACCCTAAAAAAATCAGTATCAAGTCAGTTTTGTCATAAAGTCATAATTAAATGAAAAAGTAGAATTCAGATGAATTTGTTAAAGGTATAGTGGAGGATGATATTTTTGTTGGTGGATCATCTAAATAAGTGGTATGCCTAATCATACTGGTGTTATGTTTACGTAAGGCCGTCATGCTCGTCCCAGTTTTCACTTACCGCTGGTGTGTCTGACATAGTGGAAAAATTGCATATCTTCTTTTGGAAAGTAAGCTTGTATGAGCGATAGAAACAAAAACTTTCAAACAGAGCATGCACGAGGCGAAATGGGCTCCAGCATGCTCTCGCACACTTTTAATAGGCATTCCCTCTCGGGAGCGGGTACAGGTTTGTGCATGTGCTTCTTTTTTTAGTGAGGGTGAGTCTTTTCAAAACCTTTTTTGGAAAATGAAGTGTCATTCTCCTTAAAAAAAAGTTAAGCAAAAAAGCTCATTAAAGACAGCAACAAGTGACTAAAGAAAAATTGTACAAATGGTCTTAGTAGTACAGGCTTCCACAGCATAACAATGAAACTCTTGTAACAGCCCTGCCATCCAACATGAACAGAACTGAAAGCATGTTCTTTTTTTTTTAGCTCTGATAAGACAGGCTTGTTATAATCGGCACAGAGAGAACAGCTTATTCCTGATAATCAAAAAAGTGATAGCTTTCTCCTTTTTTCGGTACAGCAGCACCATCCTGAACCCCTGGAGCCTCTTTGCTCTTAGTTTTTTTTCAGTTTGGATAAATTAATAAGCAATTTTAAACATCCTTGTATTTTACACCACACAAATAAACACTAATATTTCTCATGTCTATGAACAAATTAATGAAGTCAGTATGATATTACATTTATTAGGCTATATAATAACAAATTGACACTATTACGGCACTGCTATGATTTCTTGATTTATATACATGTATTGACTACATCTGCAT